AGGCTGAGGGAGCTGGGCTTGTTTAGCCTGGAGAAGAGAAGGCTGAGAGGGGCCCTTAGAAATGCCTCTAAATATCTGCAGGGTGGGGGTCAGGAGGACGGGGCCAGACTCTTTCCAGTGGTGCCCAGCGACAGGACAAGGGGCAACGGGCACAAACTGAAGCAGAGGAAGCTCCAGCTGAACCCGAGGAAGAACTTCTTCCCTCTGAGGGTGCCGGAGCCCTGGCCCAGGCTGCCCAGGGAGGCTGTGGAGTCTCCTTCTCTGGAGATATTCCAGCCCCGCCTGGCCGCGGTGCTGTGCAGCCTGCTCTGGGTGACCCTGCTTGGGCAGGGGGTTGGGCTGGGTGACCCACAGAGGGCCCTGCCAACCCCTACCATGCTGGGATTCTGTGCTTTCAACTTCCCACATACTCTCTTTTCCAGATCTTGCAGGCCGGGCTGAATTGGCTGTTGCCTGTTGTAACAGTTACTTTTTCTTGGTGCCTTCCCAGGAGCTGACTAGTAATGATTATCTTGTAACTGAAATAGTATTAAAGGTAACTTTTCCACTCTTTTCCAGTGAAACGCGATGTCCAGGAAAATGATGAAGAAGCGGTGCAAGTCAAAGAGCAGAGCATCCTGGAGCTGGGGTCGCTTTTGGCCAAGACCGGGCAGGCAGAAGGTGAGCCTGAAACAAGTAACTGAGGGCTCGGGTAAGGTACACTCGAATGAGTCTAGCCTCCGCACTTCATGCTGTAGGAGTAAAAGCAGGTTTTGGCGGGAAATGTTCTCTCAGAGACAGGACACAAACTAAATAACTAGATAAATGACATAACATATTAATCTCGTGTTACTTGGCCCAGTGTTCCCAAAGGTTGCTGGTGCGTTGGACGGTTTGGGGTGTGACCCTTTGACGTGCGGCCGTTTCAGTACAAGTGACGAAAGTTTTGTGAAGTTGTCGTGTCTGAGATGAGAAGTTTCTCTTGTTTTGTTTTTAATGATCTCAGAGCCTTGTTTCAAACTGGAAAGTTTGTCCCAAAAAGTCCTTTCTCAGCAGCAGCTTCCTTCTCAATTAATCGATTTATCTGCTGAAACATTACAACAGGGAACCCTCGCCCGGCTCCTCGCGAGAGCAAGGCCGGACAGTCCTGCTGTTGGGGCTGTTTGAAAGCACAGCAGCCGAGTGAAGTTCTCCATTCAGTGATTTCTGAGTTGAATCCGTTCACGTCTGCAGTTTCCTGGAAAGCTCGAGGCAGCGTGTTTCTTATTGTGCACTCAGCGGCTCAGTTTTGTTTCTTTTGCTTCCTTGCCTTTTCTGGAGCGCCTTTCACCTCGAGCCTTTTAGGAGCAGATACACCGCGTCCGTACAAAGAGTGTTGGCTATGGTGTAGCCCCGATGTTTTCTAACAGTGCACAGCAATAATTCAGAATGTGAAGTGAAGCATGCGTGCTTTATCAGTCTGAAACTGGCTGGGGAGAACAGGCCAGCAGAAGGTTTGATCGAACTGTCATTGAACTGGGGCACCAGGGGGTTAGGAGGAGTTCGTGGAAAGCCGTCTGAGGTCTCGGAGAGCGGCTGCTCAAGATCACGGTTTTATATTTATTCTGAAACACACGCTTGGTGCCCTACTGTCCAGTCTTCGCAAATGTCTGTTTTGGCTTGGCCGTTTAGCTGATCTGTCCGTGTCTACGTGTGTCTGAGTGGTCTGGACACCGATCCCACTGTGATTCGCAGCTGAACAGAGCTTGTGGCGAAGCAGATCAGCTGTGCTTAGAGCAGGGCTGGAAGCAAAGGTGCTGTTCATTCACCTCACTACAGGCATCCATGTCTCGTTGCCTAATGTGGACTTTTATAGTCAGTGGAGAAAAATAAGCCCTTCCAGCACACGACTCATCTCTTCCTACGGCAGGAATTCGGAGCAGAACAAACGAAGCGTGCCGTACAAGTGCCTGTTTCTCTAACTGAACGTTAAAGGGCCTCGAGTCAGTGAACTCAGGTATAGGCGTCTGTGCTGTGAGGGTGCCCTTTGCACGCTGGTGTTTGCTTCTGGAGAGAGAACTAAAGGCAGCTTTGGTCCTGCGCCAGGTGTGTGTGTTTGGGCGGACAAGGGGGAAACGGTCAGAAGAGTCTCTCCAGGTACCTGCATGGCTGTGCTGCTGGTGGGCATAAGCCTGAGAGAGGAGTTGTCTGGCGTGTGATGGCAGAGCTTGGGAGTAGTTCTGAGTTTCAGCTTTGAGTTTTGAGTAAAGTTCTAAGACTTTGGTCTTACCTGAGTATAAAGAACTTCAGTGTATTCTCAGAGGGCGGCTGGCTAATAGAATTTTTTTTTTTGAAGGGGAAGGCTAAGTAATTAAAAATGACAGTGTTAACTCATCAAAACCAGGTTTATGAAGGACCCAATGTGAAATGTATTTGAAATGTATTAAAGGGAACACTAAACTGCAGAGCGACTGTATTCTGGAGAGAAGAAGAAGAATTTGGCGACATTAAGAAGCCAGTTGTGTGTGTGTAGATGGCGGTGAGACCACCAGGTTGTGCTTTCTGGAGACGTGTGGTGAAGCTGGGGGACAAAGAAATGGGATCTCGCAGCTTGGAGATGTGCTAGTCCTGTGGAAAGACGCTGTCACCTTCCCTTTCTGTCTGCTTTCTAGGGCGAAGGAGCCTAGTAGGAGCGACAAGCAGTCAGGGTCAGCAGCATCTTCACCAGGTACAGCCATTCCCAAAGGTGCTGGCACCAGGCAGACACACAGGGGAGCGAATCCGCTGCTGCTTAACCTGACGAGGGGATTGCTGAGACTCTGCAGTTTCTGGCCCAGAAGAAGCAGATCTCATCATTGTAGCTTTTGCTCCACCATTTTAGTTTTAGCTAGTGGAACTGGTGAAAAGGCCCCGGGTGCTGCAGCCAAGGGAAGAAATCAGCTGCAGCTTGGTGGGGTTTGAAAGCTACGGCTGCTGTGCTGCTGAGTGGCCGAGAGCGTGAAATGGATCTGTAGTTTTTACAGGACTAACCTCTAGTGAGCTACGGCCTTTGTTTATAAAAATAACGATAATGCAAATGACCCTCTTTATCTGCTTCATAGAAGTTAAGGGTTGAACTGGTAGATTAATGACTTCTTTTTTTAGGACAGTTCTATACTTTTACAGCATTGCATAAAACTGTAGGATTGGAATAACTGGGGTCAGGAATTCAGGTGCATGGCACCTTGGCTTGTGGAAGCACTGTCTCTGAGGAGGAGCAGCAGACTTCATTTTCCAGAGCTGCTGCTCATCACTTCTCCAGAGCTGTCAGTCACACCCCTTTACCAAGCATTGCATTTACTTAAAAAAAAAAAAAATCCTAAAAATAGTTGACAGTTACGTTGGTAGGAAAGAGAAATTTCTATGGGAACTTTGAGCTTGCATGTTGAGATGTGTAGTTTGCAAAATGCGCAGAGATGTTCTAGCTGTTCAGTTCGAATCTGCTTTCTACTGAGGTCTCAGGCAACTGTTGGGCAAGTCCATGGAAAGAAAAGTACTGCATTATATTTTATGTGAATTTCTCCTTTTATCTGCTAAAGTTCCTCTCCTGTGTGGAAGAGTCTGTTGTGCACTAAACCCGTGATCCCGCTGGGCCGGAGAAGCTGGCGTAGAGCAGCGGTGCGCGGGAAGAGGAGCGGTACCTTGTAGCAGTTGAGAGTTGATGGATCTTGGAGAGTCTCGCTGCCTCGATCAGGCAGACGGAAAAACCGGCAAATTCTTAGTTACAGAGCGCAAAGCTAAGGGTACGGTGCTGTGACCTGGTGAGAAGCAGGCTTGTTCTCTGTGTTGAGTGTGGTGTTCTCAAGTGCTTGTGTTAGTTGCACAGGGAGGAGCCCAAGAACCAGCTTCTGGGCATCTCCAGCCTTAGTGCTGCTTCTCTTCCGAGCCGACGGGGTGGTCTGGGGCCCACCTTGCCCAGCTCGTGTTGGGAGGAGGGATGCTGGAGAGCAGCTCTGTGCAAAGCTGAGGTGTTGGGAGCAGCTGTCTGCTGCTGCCGTGGTAGTTTGCTTACTGTCTGCAAAACCAAAGTGTTTGCCTTTGATTAAAATCGTTGGGATTTGCATCCATGAGTGGTGTTGCAGACTGAGAGGTCCTCAGGGTGAAGGTGGTATGGGGGAAGCCGTGTCTGCTGCGGGGCAGTAGGTAAAGTGCTCCTTACGGAGTGAAAGCTGAGTGCTGAGTGAAGCTGTCAGTCAGCGGGGCTCAGTCTTAGGTACTACAGTAGCTGTACTTTACCTCTAGCAAAACCTGCCCATGCATTCTCAGACAGAGAGAAAGTAAAACAGCTATGAAACGTTGGGCATGGCAGTCATAGTGTCTGCTTTTACTCCCTGTACAAAGTCAAAGTGGTTCGTTGTAGAAAGAGTCACGATGGGTTGCACTGGTGCAACGAATCTGAGCGTTCAGGGCGCTCTCGAGGTGAGTGTCGTTTGTTCTGAAGCTGCGCTTTCGGGTGTATGAAAATGTCTGTACGTCACCGCGAGTTCCACTTCGTAACGGTGTAAGAAACCACAGTCCGTTTGCATTGCTGCTAAACGAAATGTGAAAGAAGCCTTGTTTACAACTGTTTTTATTGGAATCCTCCCAAACTGCGATTCTGCTGATGTTCCTCCGTATATTAACGGAAAGAAAATTAGATTAGTCTCTTATTTTTGTTTTTGATTCCGATACCAGTTTGGTATTGAAGATTTCTGAAATGCTCATTACAGATTTTGTTTCGGGTTTTTTTTGTTTTTACTCTCAAATCTTGTAAACGTGGTAGTAGGAAATCTGGCTGATGTTTGGGTGCGATCGGTTTCTGGGGCAGACAAGCTGTGATTTCCCCTACGACCCCAGCACTGTGCGAGTCAGCCCGGAGCCCCGCGCTGGCGCGGTGCTGGTCTGCTGGAGGTGGCATCTCCCCCC